CGACTAGGATTAGTGTGTCTGATGGAAATTATGGAATTAATCGATCTTGGTGAGATTAATCGGTCAGCAAAAGTCAACGAAAGTAAAAAATTTCAAAAAAAAAGTATAAAAAAAATTCAAAAAGTTAATTTTTTGTACTCCAAAATTTCAAATATTATACCAAAATGTTCATATTTTAAATTTTTTAAATTACAAATTCTCTTATTTTCTAATTTTGAAGAAATTATTTTTCTTAAAATATATTAATCTTTGATTAATTTTAATATTTTATTAATAATTTGTAACACTCCGGTTATTAAATAAATAAATAGATAAAGTTGATGAATGGATAGTAGTCCTAAAATCAATAGTTATATAATAAGAGTTGGTCTCGAGGAGTTAACTATTACAGTATTAGAAGTCGGGGGCTAAACGTGCAAGTGTTGGATTGGTTCTATAAATAATTATAAGGTCAGGGACTACTAGGTAATCTATTGGGACTTCATTTGAAAAGATTTTCGAGGCTTATGGACCAAATGGTAACAAATAGAGCTGAGTTCTTAAAATTTTAGATGCCAGAGGTTAAAAAGGTAAAATATGGATCTATTTCGAATTAAATTGGAGCTGGAAAGACCATTTTGGTCATTATGGCAAACTATTACAATGGAGTCGGGTATATAAGGTTCCTTAACCCTAACCCTAGCAAAACCCTCCAGCTGTCCCATCATTTTTCCATATTCAAATAATAGTTTTTTTAGGTAAGACAGGACCAAGCGCGTAACAAAAATAAATAGAATAGACCAAATGCGTAACAAATACAAACAGTAGGGACCTTCCGAGTTAAAAAAGTAAATTAGGGATCAAACGTGCAAATTACCCCAAACCATAGGGACCATTTGTGTAATTTACTCTAACAACTATCGAACAACACCTTAGATGTCATTTGAGCTTTGTATTTGAAACTTTTTTTAAATAAAATTCAATTTAAGGTTGCGATATAAATTACAAAAACCTATTGTCCTCTACCCCATGAATACTAAAGAAATTATTAAATTTAAAGCCATTAAATGTTTATATGAAAAAGAAAAGGTACCAACAAAGAAAATGAACTAAAAAGTCGCATTGCTGTCTACATTACTTGTTTTACCTTTTTCATTTTCTTTTTTGTACTATAAGGTGAACGGTGTGATAAACTTTTTACTTTGATGCCACCTAGATTTCTTCCTCAACAATCAATTCTTTGCCCATGAATTTCTGTATTGGTGCCATCGCGCGTGCGTGCGCGTGCGAGAGAGACAGACGGTGGGTTTCCATCAGCGGTAATTTTCCGCCGGTAAATTCAGTACCACAGCCTGATATTCATTGTTGGTAAAAACATTCACCTCAACTTACCGTCGTTGTCCTACACCGTTTAACTAAACTGTCCCAACCTTCTTCTTTATTTATTTATTTTTTTATTTTATTTTTATAATATATTTACTTGTTCATAAAAAAATTACATTGGTTGTAAAAATATAAGGATTGATAAAATATATATATAGATTATTGGGATTAGATATAATGAAATGATTTGGTCAACACATTTTAAACTCAATGATCTTTGGTTAACATATTTTTAACATAATGATCTCCAGTTAATTGAATATTATGTCACCATTATCCCCAAGCCACTAAATCATGATTTTTATTTTTAAATGACTTTAAAACGATAGTAGAGTTGTACATAGCATTGTAAATGAACAAAAAAACATGGATTTTATTCGGTAAATAGTTTCTTTCCAAAAACATGTGATATTCTAAAGAACACACAAAATATCTGATAATATAGCAATTACCGTT